GTCGGAGTTGTTCTTTTAAGGTCCAAAAGTCATTTTTTTTTGAGAGGGTTTTTTTTTTTTTTTTTTGCTACAGGGCGCGTGCGCTCGCCAGACAGAGAGAGACAGAGACAGAAAGTGAGAAATCACCCCCCCACCGGGGATGGCCACGTCGCAGTCCCTTCTCCATTCTCCTCTCGGGATCTTGGGCATGCATGCACATGCACCTGGCATGAGTTTCAAGCCACTGGGTCTGGGATGTGAACCGCGGTTGACTACATGGGAGTCCAGCGACATAGCCATTACGCTAACTGCTAGTCCCTGTTATTATTATTTTTTAAAGTTATATTTTTTCATTTCTTCCATGAGCAAGAGAGACAGAGAGAAATAGGCCCTGGGTACCGTGACCCACCCCCAGGCTCGGCCTGGGGTCGTGGGCACGTGAATGCCCGGCGTCCTCAGGGAGGTTTCCTCCTGGGGTCAGCACTGCAGGGCATTGTTTTCCTGCCACATCACGGTCTGGCCCCAAGGGGGTGACATTGTAAGGGAGCTGGCTCATGTGACCATGGGGGCTGCAGGGCAGGCTGGCGGGCTGGAGACCCAAGGAAGAAGTGGTGTGCGGCTCGGGGGCCGAATTCTTCTCGGGTAACTCTGCCTTTCTTTCAAGGCCTTCAGCTGATTGCGTGAGGACTGCCCACCCTCGAGAGTGCTTCTGAGAAACCTCGCTCACAGCCACACTGGGACTGGTGTCCCGTGGTTGGGCACCATCGCACAGGGCGGCTGAGGATGGGGGAGCCCCACTACTGGCTACCCTGCAGGGCGAGGGGCTTCCTCTGCTCTCCCTCCCAGCCTGCTTTTTTGCTTCCCTTCTTCCTGACCTCCTCCCTCAACTGACTCTAGCCGCCCCTACAAGCCCTCCCCGACTCCCCACCGCTTCCTGATGAGTCAGGGTTTGTGGACACACGCAGTGGGACCGTCATTTTAGGCACTGTGTGACGTCTTTGCTGCCTCCTCCCTGCAGTCAAGACTGTAAATTCCGCGCGGTCCTGGGCGACGTGTCTTGTCAGGGTAAACACTGAAGGGCGTGGGGCCTAGAGTAGGGTGGCCTGGGGTGCCTGAGACCCTGTCTGGACTGAGGCCTGTGGCTGGGGGCAGCTTGCCACAGACTGGGACGGTCAGCCCTGCTCCCCGCAGCATCTTCCCGGAGGCGGCGCCCACCCTTGCTTGGTCCCAGAAAGAGGCACTGCCCTGCAGTTTCCTCCAAGTGGCCGAGGCCCCTACTCTCTGCCTCCACCAGGCCCCTGTTCAGGTGCAGGGCGGTGGGGAGTCCCCAAGACCAAGGGCAAGCTGAGCTCTGAGGCCAGCGATGGCTCCCCTCTCTCCACTGCACAGAGAGGAGTTAGCCAGGCAGTCTCCCACCCCAGGGCCACCCCGATACATCTCAGCGTCTGCAGCCCAATCCAGGCCTTGCCAGTTTACTTTGATCCCGTGGTGGAGCACCGGCCGCTCACCCTGAGTGCCTTCCTGTGCCCCATTGACTCACCTCGTCCCCTATCACTTGCCAGGCCACCACCACAGTCCCGGTGGGTGGCCAGGAAGCTGGCAGAGAAGACTGGCTGGGATCTGGTGATGGAGCTGAGCCCAGGATGTGGGAGAGACTCTCTGGGGGTCGCTACAGTGGCTCTGGCAAGGCGTGCACCTTGGACTCCAGAAGGCCTTGGTGCCAGCTTCCGCATCGCCAGCCCCTTCACCCCCACCTCAGTTAGACAGTGGGGTTCGACTCTCAGCACCTTCCTTGCACTGGATTCCCCAGTGGCGTGGCTCGTACGGGATCCCTGCCTGAGAGCTGGTGATGGAACAAGAGGGGTGATAGGGCCAGACCCCAGGACCTGGGCACGCCACCACTGTCCTACCCAGAGGGAATGCAGGGCTGACCATCTCCACCTTCCATCCAGGAAGGACCCACCTTTTCAACCTGGGAGGACCCACATTCTCAGACTCGTTCTCTCAGATCCAGGGAAGACCTACCTTCTCAACCCAGGTGGGACCCGTCTTCTCCACCCAGGTGGGTCCCGTCTTCTCCATCCAGGGAGGACCCACCTTCCCCACCTCTCCCTGGGCCTGGGCACACCACAGTTACCCTGCCCAGAGGGGACATAGGGGTGACCATCTGATTCCACCTTCTCAGATCCAGGGGGGACCCGCCCTTTCCATTACAGGGGCATCTTCTCTCCTCAGACTCAGGGAGGATTCACTGTCCCCACACAAGGAGGACCCACCTTCTCCACCCAGGGAGGACTCATCGTTTAGAACCAGGAAGGATCCCAACTTCTTCGGTTCAAGGAAGCCAACCTTCTCCACCCAGGAAGAATCCATCTTCTCCACCCAGGGAAAACCCATCTTATCAGACCCAGGGAGGACCCACCTCCCACTCTCCATCTAGGGAGGACCATCCTTCTTCATCTAAGAGCACCCAATTATTTTGACCTTTGATGCAAAAAGAGCTGTTCTGGACCTTCTGTGTCCAGCCAGGACTCCTCTAATCTCCACTAGGCCAGAGGGAGCCTGACAGGAAAGTCACTGCCTCTGGGGGTCCTCATGGACACGCCGTGGATGAGGGTGACCAGGAGCCCGCTCTGTCCTTGGGTGTCCCCAGGGCTGGTGCCAGCATGTGAGGTCTGCACGGAGAAGTGGCAAGGTGGTGCCCACTCTGACCTAGCCCGCCCTCCCACGTCAGGCGGCATACTCAGCACCCCTCACTGCCAAAGCCCTAGCAGGCTGAATAGAGCCTGGGTCTGGGTCTGGCAAGCCCAGCAAGGCAGGATGAGGGTGTCCTCCAAGCCCTCTGGCTGCCAGCCGTCTGTACCCCTGACGTCCTTGCATTGTGGACAGCCCTCGTCCTCTGGGCCTTGTTCTACGGCTGCGGCACGGACGCCCTGTCTGGGGAGGTGCATCAGGATGCAGGGCTCAAGTGCAGCTTAGGGAGAGCCCCGTGAGACTCTGCCCACCGTGGACCTGGCCCAGCCAGGCTCCGACTCCAGCCGGGCTTTGCTGCTGTCATGCAGGAACCTGGTCAGGGCAGCAGGATGGTTGGGGGAGAGGCTTGGTGGCCCCGGCCCGGAGTCTCCACAGCTGCCGTGAAGAACCCCTCCTGTGAGTCCTGCAGCTCGTGGGCCAGACTGGAACCGGAGGCTCTCTGCTCTGAGCCGGCAGCCTGTGTGCTCAGCTCAGCTCAGGACCTGCTAGTTATTGGGTGGAGGGAGGGACCCTCCCCCTCCCTGTCCTCACCGCAGTCTGCCCGTGCCCGCCCGGGGGGCCAAGAGGACTGGCATGCCTCGAGGGCTCATGAGTGAGGGCTGGGACCAGTCCCAGTGCTACACAGTGACTCCTCGAGGCATTTCCGGACGACTGAGGGCTGGGCTAGGGTGTCTGAGACCCATCAGAGGCCACGGCCCTCTCTGGGAGAGGGGTAGCCCATGGGAGTCTGGGCAGGCCCTGGCTGTGTGCTCCTCCTCACGTGTCGGGTCCTCAGGAGAAGCAGCAACTGGGGGGGAAGCCTGCAGGGGAAGGGGCTGTGCTGGTCCAGGCCCCTTCCCCCGAGGGTGGCACTCAGGTCTGAGCCGGTTCCCCTCTGGGCCCCCAGGGGCCCTGGCTCCCTAAGAGTTGGCTTCCAGCTCAGAGCTTTGAGTTCTGATGACATGGAGCTCGGGAGACCCGCTCAGCCTGGTGGAAAGAAGGGATTAGCAGGCAGCAGGAGCCGGGCCTCCATCTGAGCTTGGTGAGCCACCAGCCAGGGCCCCATGTCTGCACTGGGACCCCACTGGAGCCCATGCCCCTCCTGCCCTTGGGGAGGCTGCTTGCCCACTCCCCGGGGTCAGGCGGGACTGCTGTTAAGTCCTGGCCCTTCACCCTGCGCTGAAGCCCAGCTTCTGGGGGCGGGGGCTGGTTCCCCTGGGTGGCATGAGCCCGCGCAGGCCTTCGGGGGCCTGTGGCTGGCTTGGTCCACATTACCCATCCAGGGCAGAGTCCTCTGAGTGGGAGACAGCCCCAAATACTAGGCAGGACCCCCTCCCAGATGCCTCGTTTGGCCTGTGCTCTGCTGGGAACTCTGGACTGAGGTCTGGAGGGCCATGGTGACCGTGGAGCCAGCCAGGACTTGCTTCCGGCAGGAGCCCGGACCCGCCCACACCGAGCCTGTCCCGCTAGGAGCCAGAGGGATGGGAGGTCCAACCTGGGTGTGTGCTGGCATTGGGGCAATCAGGGCTGCCGGATGCATCCTGAGGTTGGCCAAGTTTACCCAGGGAGCCATAAAGAGATAAACCTCAGATAGCCTGAGCCAATATTTCCCCACCGTGGTCCGCACGAGCCCCCACAGCTGTTCTCTTGATAATCCGGCAAACGCCCCACCCACTCCTTGCCCCTCCCCTGCCCTCCCGCCCTCAGACGGCCCTGCTGGGGCATATAAGGCCCGGACCCTGGCTCTGGGCTGCTCTCCGACACCGCCCTTCCGAGCCACCATGGGGCTGCCCCTGGTGCGCTTGGTGGCCATCTGTCTGGCCCTGTCCGTGGTGAGGGGCTCGGAGCTCCAGAGAGGTGAGGGCTGGGTGGAGGGCAGCACGTCCCGGGGAGGAGGGTCCTACATGGGATTGGGAGGTGGTCCTCCTTGCTGAGCCTTGGGGTGCTTCCCGAGGGACAGCTTGGATGACGCCAGCTGAGGCTGCCTCCAGGTTCCGGCTGGGCCTCCTGCTGTCCCCACCTCTGCTAACTTTCAGGGGACAGAAGGAAGGACAAGGCTCTTGGGGTCCCCCTTGGGATTGATAGCCTGACCAGAGTGGGGGCCCAGGGGCAGCACCAGGAAACCCCTGAGGTGGGCCATTGCCAGTGGGCGTGGGGCAGGAGCCAGGCTGGGGGTGGTCCTGGGCCCCCTCAGGAGGCCCCAGTCCCAGGTACCAGGGATCCTTGGAAGGTCAAGGCCAACATGGTGCCTTCGGGGTAGCAGGGTGTTTGTCACCTGAGGAAGGGTCACAGGCTGGAAAAGACTGTGGCCGCGAGACGGGGAATCTCCGTCCTAGTGGGACTGGGTGCAAAGTCACAGAGGAGGGCAATTATGGGGCGAGGGGCTGACCCCGCGCAGACAGACATGGTGTGGGCAGCCTCTGAATGGTCTGGCGTGGTCGTGCTGGATGGAGGGCTGGCTGGGGCATTGAATGGGGAGGGGACCAGGGGGTGGGGTGCTGCGCCAGGTGGACAGTGTGACCAGGGTGCCCAGAAACCCTTCATTCCCACTCCCCACACAGCAAATGACCACATTCCACGCCAGACCAGGGGTGGGAGGCAGAGGGAGTGTCCTTTCAGGAGGCTGAGACCCCCTGGGTGTGGTGACCAAGGCCGAGCAGAGGCCCCTGCTGCAGGAAGGGTCCTTCCCCAGCTGGGGAGCCTGTGCTGGGACCCCTGCTGGGCTCTCAGCGGTTTCCAGGCACCTCTGAAGGGGTCTCCCAGGGCAGCGGTGGGCGCAGGCAGAGGGCAGCCCTCCTGGCCTTGGCCGCTCACCCTCACTCCCTGCTGTGTCCTCAGAAGGCAGAACTCGAAACCACGGCCACAACGTCTGCAGCACCTGGGGCGACTTCCACTACAAGACCTTTGACGGGGATGTGTTCCGCTTCCCCGGCCTCTGTGACTACAACTTCGCCTCCGACTGCCGAGACTCCTACAAGGAGTTCGCTGTGCACCTCAAGCGGGGTCCGGGCCTCAGCGGGGGCCACCCCCAGATTGAGTCTGTGCTGCTGACCATCAAAGACGACACCATCTACCTCACCCGCCAGCTGGCCGTGGTCAACGGGGCCCTGTGAGTGGGGCTGGCGGCACCCTCTCCCACACGCGGATGGGGGGAGCGGCTGCAGCACGGGGGAGCGGCTGCAGCACCTGCGAGCAGACGCGTCCGGGCAGCCTCCGGGGCCCCTTGCTGCCCGGTTTGCAGACAAGGAGAGCTCAGGGTTTGAGTTCAGGTCACTGATTCAGACAGCGCACACTGAGGAGCCTCCACCAGGAGCACCCCACCCCACAGGCTGGGCTTTCCTACCCTGTGGGTCCCTTACAGCGGCCCTCCCTGGAGCCCAGCAGGCTCAGGAAGTGGCTGAAGCAG